ATATTTGGAACACAGTGCCTGACTGCTGCCCTACCTGTATAATTATTAAGTCTAGAGAATGGCTTGGGAAAACAGCTTTGAGAAAAGCACCTCTTATAAATGAATGATTACTGACTTGGCAAAGCATTCATAATATTGACAGCCAGTTAGGAAAATTAAATCAATGGAATCAGGATAGTGATTATTTTTCTCAAGAAGTGTTTGTATAAGAAAAAGAGGGCAAACATTTGTACTTCTTGGAATGTTAAGAGCAATATTCTGCTGTGAGAAGTGACCTATAGACACGTGGTTGTTCTGTATTTCAGGACTGTAAGTTAGGAAAAACTCTGAGCTGGGTGTCACCTTCTTCTCAAAGAAAACCAAAAGCTTTCAAATTCAAATTTGCCAGTTTTATTGGAATGAAGACTAGAAAGGTAACTTCTTCCATAATAAAATCTTCACAGTGATTTGTGAGGGTGAGCTGTAGCAGTTTTATGCACCACTGCCCCCTTTGTGCAGGTAGGTCTTGATGCAGTACTTGGTTGTATTTAATGTGATTTGGTGAGTGGCAGCAAAGTGGGAGCTGCTTGGGGTTTGGAAGATTTTTTTTGTCACAAGGAGATTTTGCTTAACTAGAAAAAGAATTGTGCTAGGTTTACTTAGTAACTGGAAGATAGGAAAATTAAAGAAGAGTTGAGGAATTATGTTGCTATTAAGTCAAAACGAAAAGTTGAAATTTTGCAACTGAATTGGAAGAGGAAATCTCAGAGGTGGAGTGAATGCAGAGTTCTCAGATGTTGGGATATTATAAAGAAGTTCTTAAAATTAATGTGAATAAAAATGTTACTATTAGTCTCTCTTCCTCATTTTGGATTTACTTTGGTTTTAGTATGTGTTTTTATTTTTTGTGTTTAGTGTGGTTTCCTTTTACTATCATACAAGAAGATGATGCTAATTCTCTATGCAAATGTCATCTTCAAGCTAATGAATACCATTAATGTATATACTGGAAGCAATACTTATTCTGAAAGCATTTTGATTTTAATGATTCATAAATGTTCTGATAGTGCATATGTGGGTGAAGAGGGTAGCGTGTGTGAGCATCCTTTAGTTCTGCTGAATACTTCATATGTAATCTGCATATTTTGTCTTGTTTCATTCTGATTTTTGCTGCCCTGTGCCTGCAGTCCCATGGCTTTTTCTCACAGTTGTCATGCTGCTTTGAGCAGCTCAGTCCCTCCCTACACCTTCACTTCTTCACTTCCCAGCATTGTATCCTTCATTGCAAAATCAGGGGCAGGAGGGAACTGATCCAGGTTCTCCCCCATCTGTTTGTTCACTTGCCAGGGAGAGGAGAGGCAGAGCTCACTTCCCTGCGTGCATTTTCTCTGGTGTGCAGTTTGTTTCCTATAATCCAAAATGAGTTACTTGTAAATGACTTTAATTAAAACATGAATGTAGTATAAATGTTAATATGTTTTTAGGGATGTTACAGACTTGCATATAAAAGTCTGCCATCAGATTTTTATGTCTTTAGTTGATAAAAGGATGCAGAAGGCAGAGACTGATGAGAAGGGATGGGCTGGTTGGATTAGGATTATTTTGGGAAAAGACTATTAAGAGAAAAACAGAATTGCTTTAGCCATTTTACTATTTCAGCCCTTGCAGTAAAAAGTGTTGGTCCATGTGTAAAAAAATATTATAGCACTTTCTGTCAGTTTTTCTGATAACTTTATAAAAACTTGACTTTAAAGCTCTGATTCTTTCTTGATAACCAGCATTCAGATGTCCTAGTACATGCTTTCACTAAGCCGATTTCCTTTGAGTCTGTGAATACTCACTGTATTTCAAAAGCTCTGAACAGTTTTAAATGGCTGAGGAGAAAACTGACAAGCCTGAAAATTAAATTGTAGCAAAGACCTGAAAATGAGGAGAGTTCTCACAGTCACCCAAACAGAAATTTATCTTGCTTTAAATTTTGGTTTTAATAAATGTATACTCCTCTGTGTATTTGACATAAATCGCACATGCTACTTAATAGTGTCACTTTAATTTTATTTTATAGGTTATTAAAGTGTTATGAGTATTTACACAGATTTATTAGAGTTGGTTGCTCAATTTTCTGTTCTTTTATGTGAAAGTAGATACAATGGTAATATAGCAGGTTATTAAATTTTGGGACCTAAATGTGTTCGCTGTGTGTTAGCATGGGAGTTAAATTCATTGAAAGCTCTGAGTATCTGCTGAGAAGAAAAGGGTTTGCTGTCTTTCCTCAGCCAGCTGTGAACATCTGTGGGGAGCTGTGTGTTCATTCCAAGCTGCTGCATGAGGGAGTTCAGGAGTTCTGCTGTGGGGTCTGTAGGTATGTGCCCCAAACACCAGAAAAAGAACCCCCACCCCAGAATCTCAAACCAGCCATGGTCTGTGTGGGAAGGCTGGCAACATGGAATACTGATTTTATTTATTTGTGCCACCCTTTTCTTGGCTTAGGACCCCCTAATTTTTCAAGCATATTTACTCTTGTATACATGCCCTGTTTCCAAGTACAAACCCCCCCTGGCATTGTGTGTTACCCTGTTCCCAAGGCATCCCAAATTCCCAGGAACATTGAGAAAAATTACTGAGTGAAACTTCTTAGAGTTGTATTCCCTAGTGTGAGTGGCAACTTGCTTAATAAAGAAAAGCAGATATGACCAGAACAATTGGTTTGTGGGGTTTTATTCTGTGGGGCTTTGAGGTTTTTTTGTTGTTTGTTTAGAGGTTTTTTGCTTGGCTGTGGTTTGGTTTTACTTAGTTTCCCCTATGGTTCATATGGCCTGTTGATGCAGTCAGACTGGCATGAATTTCATGAAGGGTTTTAGAGTGGTTTTTCTTGAGAAGAATGTAATTATATTTTTTGTTTTGTTCCCACACCTCCAGATACTTAACAGGAGAAAGAAAAAGAAAAACTTTTATGACTTATTTTAATGCTTTAGTAATTTAAAAGTTTATATTTAATATGAACCCTGCTTAAAATGAGTGTAATCTTGAGTCATATATATGAGTCTGGTTTTAACTTGTGCTGAATTGTATCCTAATGGATTCCACTTGATTTCAGCCTGTTTTTCTTTAGCTATAATGTCCTTGTTGGTCAAAACAAACATGTTAAAGTCATGTAGAACAGTGCAACCAAACCTCATTATGGTCATGTAGCAACATAGATTGTATTGATACCTTCTAAATATTTTCAAGGTCTGTGGTGCATTATAAGTGTAATAAAGAAGAGTGTAAGTTTTAGAAATAAAGCTTTTGAAAAGCAACCAATTGCACTTTTTCTTTTTTTCAGCCTGTGTATAAGGCTGTCTGTGGAAGAAATGTTTCATCATTTAACTGTTGCTTTCTTGTTAATAACAATGAATTCTGAAGTCCATTCATCTCTTATTTGAAGGCAGGTAGTCAAGAGAGCAGTCACAGAACTCTGCTTCCCCAGGCCCTTTATGTCCTGTAGGGCTGTAACCTTAGAAGGGTCGTGTATAGAAATGATCTTTTTTGTTGTGGTTGAAGGCTAATGAGTTTCTCTGTCTCCTTGGCTCATCTTAAGTTTCAGCTCTGTTTGAATGTGTGAGGGAGACCTGGCCAGTGGAATGGCTTTAGGGTGCCTGATTTTGGGACCTTCAGTATTCCAGAGGTGTTTCTGGAAGGAGGATTCTCCTCCCATGTAGATTCTACTTCAGTGTAGTAGATACTACTTCAGTGCTGTAAACAAAAACAGGTTGAAGAAACTGTTGCATCTTTATTTGTACTGCAATCACGTTTATTCTTTTTAGTGCTTAAGCACTGGTTTTAATTAAATTGAAGCACTGTGTTTAAGCAAAACAGATTTGTGGTGCTTAAGTCTTAAAACTATTTAAAAGTACCATACAATTATTAACACCTCCCAGCATTTGCCAGGTATTCCTTACTATGACTTATTCTTTGTCAGCAATGAGAAGTTCCATTTAGATTGGCCTTTGAGAAGTCCAGGTTTTAAGAAATAAACACAAATTCTCTACTACTGAAGCTTTTTTTAAAGTGAGATCAGGAAGGTCAACCAGTGGATTTTGGTGCTGAGGCAGGCATTGGTGCCTAAAGAAAACCAGGTAGTTGAAAGGAAGCTCCCTTGTCTGAGGACAGACCTTCAGAGTAAAAATGTGGAATTTCATCTCTACAACTTTCTGCTGTTGCTATCCTCTTGTGTACATGAACATTGAATAAATGAAGCTGCCTCTGTATTCTTTTGAAGCATTTGGTAAAGTAACCAACAACTAAGAAGTTGACATTCCTTTTATTGTTGTATTAAGTCTTTTCATTTGCTGTGAATTAAGAAAATAGAACAAAAGCAGTGAGTTCTGCTTACTTTATTGGTCAAGCACATACTATTTTTTGTGCAAATGTTCCTATTGATGCATGTTATGTGTTCACAGTACAGAAAAAAAATCCTCACTGTGTTTCAGTGAAATTGATTTTGCTATGGGAAGTGTCAATATGGGGATAATGATTGAAACTCAGAACTTGTTTATGGAATTATGGCCTTGCTGTGTGTTCATATATATGTATTCATGTATATTCATACAGGGCTATAAATGACGTGGTGTTTTTAGAAATACAAATTAATCAAGCTTGATGTGTTTGACACTTCTTTCATCCTTCTTTGGAGTTGAAGTTAATGATGGTAAAAACCAGCCTCCAGTCAAAGTAGTTGTTTATTGTAAAATTAAGTCTTGGATGCTGGTGTGTGTCCATCCTCTACTTCAGCCTGGACTTTCTTGGTGAACTTTATTTTCCTCATAGCAGTTGATGATTAAATTCCTTCTACAATACGTTCAAGATCTCAAACACACAATAGCAATACAGTTCCTGTAAGTGGTTCATTTGTTAATCTGAGCTCTGTTTTACAAGAATTGTATGAATGCTGCTTTCCTTTGAAATTGATCTTCAAAAAGAAATCCTGTTTTGTATAATAAGATGCCAGACTCACAAAGATTTCCTTTCTTGTTTCATAGACGTTCCATCTTCAGAGCAGCCTGAACTGTTCCTAAAGAAACTTCAACAGTGCTGTGTCATTTTTGACTTCATGGACACGCTTTCAGACCTTAAAATGAAAGAATACAAGCGCTCCACTCTTAATGAACTGGTGGACTACATTACAATAAGCAGAGGCTGTTTGACAGAGCAGACTTACCCTGAAGTAGTTAGAATGGTGAGTTCTTTCTTTCTCATGGTCTCTTTTTAAACCCACTTGCACTTCCAGTTACACCCTGTGGGCAAAATTGAACCCTGGAGTAGTGGATTAAATGATGCCTTTGGCTTGGATTTGCTAATAGACATTGCTTGGGGATAGTTCTCCAATGACAGAAATATTAATTTTTATATATTTTAAATGAAAGTCAAGTAGATTATGGTTATTATAGTGCCACAGATTATGAAAGGAAACCTGGATTGTTTCCTGATCGAGAAAGCCAGCAGCCATTAAATCACAGTCCCTCATGTTTCCTCCAATCTATCTTCCCTCTCCTCCCAGTGTAAATAATGGAATAATTTTTGCAGATTTCTTATCTTTCTTTGAACTTTCTCCAAGTTCTTGGGTGTCTGCCTCAGGTACAGATACCTTAAAGCATGCATGGATAATAATTTTAAAATAATAAATGCTAAAAATGTTGTACAGGATTGTTGTGTCAATTTCCTGGTTGGGTTATGTGGATTCATTGCATGGGCTGTTAAGAGTGAGCAAGATTGCTCAGCTATAAAGCCACACCTTGTATATATAAATTGTTAAATAATAGTGTTTAATGTAAAAATGGAAACAGTACCAGATGCTCTATGGTGAAGAATGTTCATTGCAACTGGCAAAATCAATCACTGCTTTAAAATGTTTGTTCTGTGCTGCTGAACAGAACCCTTATAACCTGTTCTCTAAATGAGAAAGCAATTAATTAAATATAGATTTAGTCTTGACAGTTTCCTAACAGTACTGTGTGATTGTGGAATCCACTGGCTATGTGCTGTAAGAAGAAAAACATGAATAGTTTTTGCATTGCATTGTGTTTGCTCCTTGCTTCTTTTCTGACACACAGATACATGCTGTGTTGCTTGTCTGTAGTATTTAAAAATAGCTGTAAATTGTGACAGAACCATCAAGCAGTTAATCATGAAGGAAAAAAAAACAGAATTAAGGGTGTATGAAAAAATCTTAATATGTCTTCTTTGTGTGTATGAATTGTCAGAAAGCCTGTAATTATGAGTTCAGATTCTTTCCCTTCTCCCTCACCCTCTCCTGCCCCTTTCTGCACTGGACCAGTCTTGTGAATGAGCTGCTTGCTGTGTTATTTCTTCACAATGTGAACTCATGCACCATTCACATACCAGGCAGAATACACAATGACTTTTTTTTTCTTCTCAGTTTTTCTGCTGGTGCTGCACTGTAGTATCTAAATGGTTTGCATGTGTTAGTTTAATCTGATGTGTACCCCTTGTGATGAACAAAGTGTATCACACCCTTTGCCTAGCAAGGATGTTGATGCACAGATAACTTTAATAAAATAGGGGACTTTCTCTGTGTGCAGCAGATGCCTCCAAACTCATCCCCCCAGAGAATTTGGTAATTTTTATAGCATTTCTGTTACTGAGTTTTATTCTTGGGTTGACACTGGTTATAGTTGTTTACTGCAGCAACATCTCTTGAATAACAACTCTGTAAGTTAGTGTTGACTTAGCTTGGGCCCCAGGAAGCAAGAAGAATTTGATTTGTAATTGTTTGTGAGGTTCAATTTGAATCATAAATAATAATCTATGAAACAGTGTGATCTTGAACAGTAAAGTAAAACCTCTTTAGTATCATGTCCTGCTGTCCCTGCAGTCACTTTTATTGATTCACACAACAGGTTTTAACTTAAGGAAATGATGTATTGCCTAAAGAGTTTGAAAAGCATGGTTTTGAATAATTTCCTTAAATATAGTCTGTATCTATGATATGGAGTAGCTATTGGAAATAGACACAGCCTGAATATTTCCAGTGGATTTCACAGATATTTACTAATGGTGCTTAAGAAATTCCAGTTTCACCTTAGATCCTTTTAGATCGAAATCTGTTCTCTCATCTTTTCCTTTCATGGCATCATGCCCTTCTTCATTCTGCTTTCTTCTACTTTGCATTTGTGGTGCTGAACCCAGGCTGTTTTCTCTTCAGTGCTGGGATGCTAAAGCAGGAGAGGGCTGTGAATATTCTCATGTCCTCTGTCTGGCTACCCAGTGGCCCCTGACTGCCCAAATCTGATTTTTTTTTTTTTTTTTACGAGTAAAAAGATGCCTATTATTTAAGTATTTAAAGACGTGAACATGTTTTTTCCCTTAAGAATTTCCCGAGGAAATTTGAAGTAAATATAATTGGAAATTGTAATTTAGATTTTGAGTGAAACTCCAGCCTGCAGCAGCCACCTGAGCTTTGGTGAAGGTGTAAGCAGCTGAAAGCTGGACTCCCCTGATTGTGCCAGTGGTGTTCTTGGTGCATGTGCTGCTGGAAAACTTTGGTGGTTGTTGTGTTCCATGGGAGCAGGAGGCAGTGCTGTGATGCTGAATTTGTGGGGGTGAACCCATAGCAGATACATGAATAATTCCTGTTGATGGTCCCAGTGAATGCTGTTGCTGTGTTTCTGCTAAACCACATCACCAGGGCTTTTGAGGCTTGCAGGTGGTTTGGTTTTTGTAGATGGACTATCTGGTAAAAATGCTAGTTTTTCCTGCTGGTCTTTGCATATAAAAGCAAGACTTCACCACTTTGAGAACAATTACACACGCCCTAGAGGGAAAGGTAGTTCTTCTAATATGCTATAGGAGAAGTTTTGAGCACATACTGCCTGGTGAAGAGATGGCATTAGTCACTTTGTACTGAAGCACTGCTTTATAGTGTAACTTATGCTTTGCAGTAAATACATGTTCTTGTTTCAGGCAGTTTTGTGCCCATAGTCATACACTGAGACAGACTTAAATGTGCACAGTTGACTTCACAAGTGCAGCTACCACCTTCATTGTGCTTTTGGGGATTTTCACCAAAGTCTCCAGCTGGGTTCACAAGGGAGCTGTCACATTGACAGTCTCAGACCTGTCATGATAGTGAGGAAAACAGCAATATCTGTGTTCTGACCAAATTAGCATCCCCACTGCCTGCCTGCCACAATTGTCATGGGAGTGTTTTGATTGAAAGACCAGGATCTTAAAACTGATCAAAACTGAGCCCAGTTGTTTTATGTCCCTTTGAAAGATCTCTGCCCCGTTATGTTTAGTGTTTATGAATCTGAGAATTAGTATTTTCTGCTTGTCCCTTTGGGCTACTATGATTTGGAGGTGAAGGGAAAAAAAAGTTCTTTTGTGAGTTTTAACATCATCTAGGAGCAGGAGGGAAAAAAAGGCACACCAGTCTAAACCAGCTGTTTTTAAAGTTACTAATATTCATAGAGAAGGATTAATAGTTAAAGTATTTTCTAAATAATCTAAAATATTTGAAAATAATTTATGTGGAAGAGACTTCTTTTGTTTGAAGGTTTTATAATGTATGTGTATGTTAATGATCTCTGTCAGTGACCCCAAAAGGTGTTTGGCTCTAGACATACTAGGCTAGGAAAAAGTTGCCAGTAGCATTCTTTAGAAGAGCTGAGATTTCTAAAATATAAAGGTTTGAAAAAGTCATTTGTGGCAGCCAGATAACTTAGAGATGTTTTTCATGCCATCTAAAATTTATGCCATTAAAAGCTTTATCCATGCTTGTAACATCACATGTTTTCGTCTTCTCTTGAGCATGTGATATGATTTTGTATATAGCTAAATGTGAAACCACTTGGCTGTTTGTCAACCTGTGTGCAAATCTGCTTCTTTAAACCCCTCTCTATAGCTTGATACAGTGTCTGGCATGTTATTTGTTATTCAAAAAAATAAAATAAACCAGAATCTCCTAATGGCCACCAAAGCAAGTTGCAGAGGCCTCATCCATGTCATCAATATCAGTTGATGGGGAGAGGAATTGGGATTTGTGGTAATGGCCATGAGCTGAACAGATTTATTCAGGAGGGGATTGCTCAGCATGCTTCCCCTGCAGTTTGATGTGTTGTTCAGAAGGGCAGATGACATTCTTTAGAATTAGGCAAATCTTAGGAAAAATGGCCTTGCCAATTAAGCCACACTCTGCTAAGAAGGAAATGCCTGTAATAGGACTTTATGAGCCAATAATTGGACACTTAATCTAAAATTTATTCCTGTCTGAGCAAAATGTGGAGGCTTAAACTAATGATACTGATTTTTGCTGGTAGATTAAGCAGTGGTAGTTGAAGGAAATAAATGTTTGTTTTTATCTGTGGTATCCTGAAGGGTGTATGTGGTAGAACTGTTTGTGTTTTATGGATGTTAAGACATAGATTGAGGAAACTCATCTATTTAATTTAAAAAATGGATGAAAAAAATTGACAAGCTTTTAAACTGAGAAGTCTGGATGAATCTCTTTGTTGGTGAGCAACCTTTCAGCTCTCCTACTTTCTTCTTTAGAAATTGTAGACCTGGGCCCTGACGTTTACACATCAGGGTGTGTTTGCCAGCCCACAGGAGATGGCTAATGAAACTCTCTTCAGATCCATCTTTTAGAATGGAGTAGTGATACTTTGTTCTCTTTTCTAAGTGCTGAAATGCCTCTGGCTTCCCATTGTCATCTTTATCTTTTCTGTAATGGCAAATTGAGTAAAATAAGACTGTAATTTCTGTTCAGCCCAAGTGAAACATCATAGGAGATGTCATGTGGTGTAGGAGCTGTGTTAAGCAACAGAGGGAAAGAAACTTGGTTAAATCAATACCCAAATAAACACAAAAAATGCATTTTAAAGGTCAGATTCTGGTTTGGGTTTATTTTTTTTTTTATTCTCTCTTTCTACTGACATAAATCTGGAGAGATTGCATGGTTTTTACTGCAGGTTTGTCTCAACAGATGTGAGGGCAGAGTCTGTTCAGGAGTTTGTTTGTGACAGACCCGTTAAACATAAAGAATATCTTGCTAAGCCATGATTTTTTTTTAGTATGTTGAGCAACCTATTTTTAGGAAGTGTTCTAGCTGTTAGACTTCATAGGCATTATGGTTTTTATATTTTCTATAGCTTTGGCTGTGTCTTGTGACTAAGTATGACATCTTCAGAGTTTCTGTATTAAAATGTTCTTGGATAGAGA